AGAATCAAATATCAACAACTTTTAAACTAGTACAAAAATAAGATGAATGTAATTAAATATTTATAATAATTAAGATGCAAAAGTACAAGGACTCTTTAATCAAAAGACAAGTGGAAGATACCATAAAGGGAAAAATCACATATTGGCTACACAAAATTGAAAACTTCTATACATCAAAAACAGTCACCAAAAAGATGAAAAGTCAAATGACAAATGGAGGACATAATTTTCAAAAAAATTTTTTTTAAAACGGGATAATATATGTTATATACATTATTCTCTCTCATTCTCTCTTCGTGTGTGTGTGTATACACTATATATATAGGTGTGTATGTGTATATGCATGTGTGCACAAAAATCAGTAAGAAAAATATCAATGCCTCAATAGAAAAATACGTAAACCATTCACTTTTAGTAGCAAAGGAATGCATGTGAAAATGTGTACCATTTTTATCACATTGAAAAAGCATTTTTTCACTGGGCGCAGTAGCTCAGCCTATAATCCCAGCACTTTGGGAGGCTGAGACAGGCAGATAACTTGAGGCCAGGAATTCAAGAGCAGCCTGGGAAACATGGTAAAACTCCATCTCTACTAAAAATATTAGCTGAGCATGGTGGCAGGCACCCGTACTCGGGAGGCTGAGGTGGGAGGCAAGAAAGAGCATTCCAAAAGGTACATAGGCCAGGACTTGCAGTGAGCCAAGGTCATGCACTGCCCTCCAGCCTGGATTACAGAACGAGACTGATCTCCAAAAAAAGAAAAAAAGCTATTTTTTAAAAATTATAATATGCACTGCTGGCAAACATTTAATTTCTAGGCATTTTTATGTGATGCTGGAGGAATATATTTTGAGAAGACCTTTCTGGAAAGCAATTGTGTAAGATGTACCAGGAGCCTTAAAAGAATTCACAGGTAGGGTGCAGTGACTCATGCCTATAACTCCAGCACTTTCAGAGGTCGAGGTGGGTGAATCACTTGAGTCCAGGTGTTTGAGACCAGTCTGGGCAACACAGCAAGACCCTATCTCTACAAAAAATACCAAAAAAATTAGCTGGGTGTGGTGGTGCACATCTATACTCCCATCTACTCGGGAGACTGAGGTGAGAGGATCGCTTGAGTCCAGGAGGTCAAGGCTGCCATAGCGCCACTGCACTCCAGCCTGGGCGACGGGGCAAGAGCCTGTCTCAAAAAAAAAAAAGAAGAATTCATGGTTTTTGACGTAGCAATTTCACATGTAGGCACCTATCAAAGGTGTGATTTCAAAAAATGCAAAAGGATGCTCATCTATAAAAATCAGATATATGGAAATAACTTAACCATATAAAAATAAAAGTTAAATAAATTATAGTACATTCAGAGTTTGGAACGTCATATAGTATTAAACACAACATTACCAAAGTCACTTTAATAACATGGGGGAAATGCTCACATTATAAATACTAAGAGAAATAAAAAAAATAAATAAAGATACAAAATGGAAATAGATAAGAATATACTAGTGAATAGTAAATAAATGAAAGGAAAGAACACTGAAGCAATAACAGTGGTTTTCTCTGGGTGATTTTCCCCCTCTATTCATTTCTCTATTTTCCACCATCTCTGCCATGAGTTCAGTGTTCCCTTTAAGAGCCATGAGTCTGGTGTCAGTCTCCAGCAACCTTGTGCCTAGGAAGGCACTTGTCTGTAGATCACCATCATTTTAAGCCTTAGGAAGGCAGTTTATAAATTGATTCCAACATGGATGTGATCCAGGAGGGGAATGCAATGTCAAAAAGCTGATCTCCAGCCTGTGTTCCTCAAGCACATTCCTAGACTAAAAAGTTTAGGGTCAAGATTCAGTAATTAATCAATTGCTGAACCAATTTAAGAAAAACTTGAGAGAATTTTCACTTAATCATTGTTCTTTAAATTCAGCCTGTGACCTGGGAGAAGAACTGGTGCATATACTTTTTAATGGCTTTGGACTTTGAATTTACTTTTCCCTCCTTCATAGCACATTCCTCATACCATAGGAGAAGAACCCATGAACCCGGAAGTCTCTAGGGATTTATTTGAGGGTCACACACCCAGGGCTCTGTTTGACTTTCTTCACTGGGCTGCACAGGCAGGTGAGTTAGGACACAGGAGGTGACTCAGCAGTTTGGGAATGAGAGTCACTGACTCATGTGAATTTGCTCCATGCTGAAACTCGATTGCTTTAGTGTACTAAAACATTAATGAGAGTTTACATTGCTAGAGCTCAGCACATCTAGGTGTGCGCACCTGGAGACCCCCAGCCCTTCCTGAACCCCCCTCTAAGTGGCTATCTCCTTCTGCAGACCCCAGAAGCCCTCTTGCAGGCTGTGTCCTGGAACGGTTTCACTTGGCCTTGGGGCTGCATGACCTTCTTCAGGTCTTTACTGGCCTAAAATAGCCTCTGCAGCTGCTGCTTTCCAAGATGCCCAAAGGAGAAAAGAGACAACAATGGATCTTGTAGGAAAATGGCAAATAACTCTCAAAGTGTGGTCTGAGGACCATGTAATATGAGAATCATGTGGGGACTTGCTAAAAAAAATCATCTTCCTGTGTCCTACCCACCTACTTGGTACATTAGCAATCCATAGCAGAAAATCTAGGCCGGGTGCAGTGGTTCACCCCTGTAATCTCAGCACTTTGGGAGGCCAAGGTGGGCGGATCACTTGAGGTCAGGAGTTTATGACCAGCCTGGCCAGCATAGTGAAACCCCGTCTCTACTAAAAATACAAAAATTAGCCAGGCATGGTGGCACATGCCTGTAATTCCAGCTACTCAAGAGGCTGAGGCAGGAGAATCACTCGAACCTGGGAGGCAGAGGTTGCAGCGAGCTGTGATCGTGCCACTGCATTCCAGCCTGGGTGACAGAGTGAGACTTTGTCAAAAAAGAAAGAAAGAGAGAGAGAGGAGAGAGAAAGGAAGGAAGGGAGGAAGGAAGGGAAGGAGGAAGAGTTTACTGCATCCAACTCTTTAGAGGTAGGATCCTGTAATCTGTGATTCCTACATAAGCTAAAATGGTAAACTATGCCATAGCCAAGGGTTCACATGTTCAAGAGGGATGTAGGCCAACTGTGATGATCCTGGGCCAGATCACCCCTTCTGCAGCTTTATGAATGTCAGATCTGCATTGCCATCTTCTCCCTCCCTGCCCATGCCCACTGCCCCTCCCCGGCCCCCAGGGCCAGAAGGACTGTGTAGCACCTTGCCACACCACACTGGAAAACAGGGATGCAAGAGGCTGTACGATGCCGCAGTTCAGAGCATGGGTGTTGCGCTGAAAGCACTCCAGTATGTACTTCTCTACCTCTAACCTGCGGTGTATCCTCCAATCAATGACTTAATTTTGTTATGCCTGTTTCTTCATCTGAGAAGTGGGGTTAATAAGGTTGTCGTGAGGCCCTAGGTCAGGAGACCTTTGTCAGCTGTTGCTATTATTCTGTGGTTGGAACCTTCATTTGCATGGCATTAAAACCTTCATTTGCGTGGCATTATAGAGGCCAATCACTCCTCTGCTCTGTAGCTGGCTAGGTGGATGAAAGGCAATAGAAAATGCTTGGCCAAGTTATTTCATAGCAACCTAATTTAAAGTTGATGAAAGGCAACTTGTGACATGAGCCTGAGGCGAACTTGATTTATATTTTACATAAAGGGCAACTTTTTAATTGTTAAGTGTTACTGTTCTGCTCTCTCTACCCCTAGGAATGTAACATTCATACCCTTGCAGGTATGTACCTCTTTATTAGTTCCTTCTTGGTGAAAGGTGGTGTAAAAAAACCTGTTATCCTTTCTCATCTCAAGTCTTTAATTCCCCTTGGTACATTAGTCATCCATAAGCAGAAAGCCAGAAGTACCAAGAATAGCTTATTCTAAAAAATTATAAAAACTTGTTCACAATATGATTCAGTTATAAAAAGGAATGAAGTACTGATACATACTACAATGGGATGAGCCTTGAAAACATTGTGCTAAGTGGAAGACACCAGACACAACAGGTCACATATTGTCTGATTCCACTCATTTAAAATATCCAGAATAGGTAACTCCATAGAGGCAGAACACAGGTTGGTGGTTACCATGGACAAGGCAGAGAGGAGAATGGAATCAACTGCTTAAAAGGTATGGGGTTTCCTTTCGAGGTGAAGAAAATGTTTTGGGGCCAGGTGTGGTGGCTCACGCCTGTAATCCCAACACTTTGGGAGGCTGAGGCCGGTGGGTCACTTGAGGTCAGGAGTTGGAGACCAGCCTGGCCAACACAGTGAAATCCGTCTCCACTAAAACACACACAAAATTAACTGGGCATCGTGGCACGTGCCTGTAATCCCAGCTACTCAGGAGGCTGATGCACAAGAATCACTTGAATCCAGGAAGCAGAGGCTGTAGTGAGCCAAGATTGTGCCACTATATGTCCAAAATTAGTTCCTTCAGGTGGGTTCTTGGTCTCACTGACTTCAAGAATGAAGCTGTGGACCCTTGTGGTGAGTGTTACAGTTCTTAAAGATGGTGTGTACGGAGTTTCTTCCTTGTGGTGGGTTTGTGGTCTCGCTTGACTTCAGGAGTGAAGCCACAGACCTTCGCAGTGAGTGCTACAGCTCTTAAGGGTGGTGTATCTGGAGTTGTTTGTTCTTCCCGGTGGGTTCCTGGTCTCACTGACTTCAGGAGTGGAGCCGCAAACGCAGACCTTCACAGTGAGCGTTACAGCTTATAAAGGTAGTGCGGACCCCTCATAAACTTAGTGCAGACCCAAAAAGTGAGCAGCAACAAGATTCATTGTGAAAAGCGAAAGAACAAGGCTTTCAAAGCGCCCAAGCTGACCCAAGCAGGTTGCAGCTGCTGGCTCGGGAGGCCAGCTTTTAATCCCTTACTTGGCCCTGCCCACGTCCTGCTGATTGATCCATTTTACAGAGCGCTGATTGGTCCATTTTACAGAGTACTGATTGGTCCGTTTTTACAGAGTACTGATTGGTGCGTTTACAAACCTTTAGCTAGACAGAGCGCTGATTGGTGTGTTTACAATTCTTCAACCAGGCGGAAGAGTTCTCCAAGTCCCCACCAGACCCAGAAGCCCGGCCGGCTTCACCTTTCAACTGCAGTCCAGCCTGGGTGACAGACAGAATGAGACTCTGTCTCAAAAAAAAAAAAAAAAAAAAAAAAAAAGAAAAGAAAAGAGAAAAAAGAAAATGTTTTGGAACTAGATAGCTGTGGTTTGCACAACATTGTAAAGTACTAAGTGCCACTAAGTTGTTCACTTTTAAAACAATTTTATATTATGTAAATTTCACCTCAATCAGAAACAAACATTAACTGTATATTATTCGCAGCTGACTGTAGCAAGTAGCCTATAAAAAGAAGTCTTAATTCCAGAGACAAATACCTTTCCAAGTTCACTTTTAGTAAGCCATTTGCTACTCTGTTGCTGTTATAAATTGTGATGATAATAATAAGTGCCCTGGATTTCAGTAGTCTCTTACTTCCAAGCAAGTCAAAGTACTAAATCAGGATTTCTGATCTCCATTTTTTAAAGAAAATCAATAAACAGATCTGTAGCAGAGATGCTGATTCTTTAGAAAAGGCTAAGGAAATTGCTTAATTCATAGCCTAAAGTTTTAAAAGCCGTTTCCCTCTCAGATTCCTTCATGATTCTAATAGCCAGAGATAAGGCTAATCTTTAAGAAGCTTCACAAAGTTGGGAGCCCAAATTAAGAGATTCAGATACAAAAAGCCAAGTGACAAATCAACTTGTTATTCAAAAGTGCTATTATGTCAGCAAGGTAATTGGGACTCATTTAGGGAACAGAACAGAGTATTTACAAACCATTTCCTGACAAGGGCAGATAAGGAGATAGAATAAAACAAGTCAGGTTAAGGTTAGAAGGAGTGGTAAGGACTGGCGTGAACTGTAACCCTGGCTCCACCTAAATCAGTAACAGTAACCATAGCTCTATGGAATTTGGGCTCAGCACAGCCAAATCTGCTATTTTTTCAAGAAATGACAGAAACTCAGATATTTATGTGAAACCTTCTGCTCTGTTAATGTTGGAAACAAATTTAAAAAGAGAAGACCATTTTGTGTGCCAACGAAAACAGTTGTGTAAACTGGATTCCACCCACCGGCTGCTAGTTTGAAACCTCTGAGCCCTCACCTTTAAGCCCTCAAGGACATACCTGCTTAAAGATAAAATATTTCCCTGAGCAGGGATCAGGTTATTCGTGGGATTCTTATCTCCTGATTTGGGGGAAAGTTTACAGTGCTAGAATATATCAGATGTAGCTAGCTAGCCAAGTCTCTTTCTTCTCTCCTTCTTAGTTGAGAGGTCTTGTCAAATGTCCCCCTCCCCGCTTGTAGCCACTGCTCTGTTTATTTTGCAGGAACAGTGAATAAGTAGCAGAATGCTTTCTTAAGTTTTCGCTGATGCAGAGCTGAAGATCTCTGCTACAACAAATGTTCTGAAACGGATTCTTCTTTCTCATCTCCATCCCCTACCAAGGACAGTGTTGAACACATTGGGGTTGTAAAACTCAAAGGCAGAGTTACAGCCCTCCTAGATTTTAGACCAACCCTGGGGATATGCAGCTGTATTTACTCTTCTTGTGTGTCCTGGTGGGAGGAAGGATGAGAAGAGCAGTGCATCCTGGAACCGTGGCTATGGAAAATAACCAGCACTCCTCTACCCTCTGGCCAATACCGGCACAGACTTAATTTGAGGGGTAATCTTCTGTGAAGTATGATGGGATTTCCGGGAGAAGAATCTCAGTCAGACCTACAATCAAACATACATTCCTTACCAGGGGTAAGGAAAAAAATCTTTCCTCTTAAAATTAGACACCCCGTCCTGGAAAACACTAACTTCCTACATCCTGATACTTCCTTCCTGCAGCCTTCCAGCTCTTTCTGCCCAGACTCAGATATAAGTGGCCAAGTAGCCACAAGCTGCCTAGCAGAGGAGTATTTTTTTTTTTTTTTTTGAGACGGAGTCTCGCTCTGTCTCCCAGGCTGGAGCGCAGTGGCCAGATCTCAGCTCACTGCAAGCTCCGCCTCCTGGGTCCACGCCATTCTCCTGCCTCAGCCTCCCGAGTAGCTGGGACTACAGGCGCCGGCCACCATGCCCGGCTAGTTTTTTGTATTTTTTAGTAGAGATGGGGTTTCACCGTGTTAGCCAGGATGGTCTCGATCTCCTGACCTCGCGATACGCCCGTCTCGGCCTCCCAAAGTGCTGGGATTATAGGCTTGAGCCACCGTGCCCGGCCTTTTTTTTTTTTTAAAGACAGAGTCTTGCTCTGTCACCCCAGACTGGAGTGCAGTGATGCGATTTCAGTTCACTGCAACCTCTGTCTCCCAGGTTCAAGTGATTCTTGTGCCTTAGCCTCCCGAGTAGCTCTGATTATAGGCATGTACCACCATGCCTGGCTAATTTTTGTATTTTTAGTAGAGATGGTGTTTTGCCATGTTTCCAGGCTGGTCTCAAACCCCTGGGCTCAAGTGATCTGTCCTGCTTGGCCTCCCAAAAGGCTGGGATTACAGGCATGAGCCACCATGCCTGGCCCTAGCAGAGACGATGACAGTCAATCTTCGTGAGAGCTAAAGAGAAACTTCTGCTGTCACCTTTGCAGAGACCTGTCAAAGAGCCACTTGGTCAGAAGAGCAGGAACTCCTCTGGAAGAAGCCTGGGCATACTTCCTGCACCCCTCCTCATCCCCTTTTTGTTTATGTATGGGTGGATTTTTCAACTTTATCAGCCTTGCAGGAAACCATAAATATATTTCCAGTTGACAGTCATGTTTTCTGATTGTGAACCTCAGGTCTTCCAAAGTCACCATCTGCTACAGAAACAAAAGTCAACAAATATCACATTCTTCCCAACTGGTCTACCATAAATTATGGCTGCTTTGAGCATGTCAGCCTTGTGGTTTTCTTCAGAGGGCAGGATGTGTCCTGGCCCCACTGGTGGTTTAGCTTGGTTTCCTGCCAAGGCGGACAGGGGAAAATGTCCCCCTACCCCCGCCGGCTCTTCCGGGGCAGTGTAGGGCCTTTGCAACTTAAACTTGCATTTGCCGAGCCTAAAACTTGAATCATCGTGTTTTATTTGTTTTTGTTTGCATCAGGAAACTTTCAGTGTTTTTTTGTTGTGGTGGTGGTGGTGGTGGTGGTGGTTTAATTTTTTTATAAATCATTGTTTCTTCTTAAACTTTTAATGCCCCTGAACTGTGACTCTGAGAGGACTTGACAAATTACCTGTGCTCTTAAAAGGAAGTTTCTTGTCAGGTGTTTTTGCTTGTGCCTATAATCCCAGCTACTTGGGAGGCCAAGGCAGGAGGACCACTTGAAACCAGGAGTTCAAGACCAGCCTGGGCAACATAGAAAGACCCCATTTCAAAATAATAATAATATTAAAAGTAACTTTCTTAAAGTTTGAGGCAGTGGGGAAGAGGATGAAGAGCGAGAGAGAGTAACTTATTCAAGTTATCTTCTCTCTTTCTCTCACAAAACTAACTCCTGATTGATTGATTGATCGATTGATTATCAGGAGTTCTTCCAGCCTGTGGATTAATTGCACTCCACCTCATCACTCCCTTCCATTTGTTGCCAGTGTCTTTTGTTATTTCTGCCACAGATTCTCTAGTGAAGAAAAGTAAACACTCAAATTTGTTCTCCTTGATTACACCAAGGAGAGGTTGTAGGGTGCCCTCTTAGAGCAGACAGTGGAGTCAGCTGTTGCCTCAGGAGAGCACGCCTTGCTGAGGGCTCTTTGGGTATTTTTGTGAGGAGACTGAGGAGAACTGAGTAGGCCTGAGGAGTACTTTGGAGGCCACAGAACCATGGACAGGTGTAAGGGGAAGTTCCAGGAGGGAGGAAATTAGTGTAACTGTTGTTCAGGCCTCAGAGTGTTTGGATCAGGGAGAAGGGCAAAGAAGCTGCTTTGGAGTGTCAGGCAGGCCCTAATGGGCAAATGTGGATGGTCAGTGCTTCTTGAACTTGTTTGTGCTTAGGTACCACCTGGGGATCTGGGTCTGGAGGGATGGGGTGGGGTGAATTCTGCTCCCCTAACATACTCCCTGCTCATGCTTGTGCTGTGCTTTACCTCACTAGGTAACCACACTTTGTGAAGCAAGATGGTAGAATATTCTGGGAGCTAGGGACAGCTTAAAGGTGAGGCCAGGGGCAGGGCCAGGGACGGCAAGCAAAAGCAGCTTGCATCCATATCACCATTAAGGCAGCAGATGGACAGTCTTACTGGAAGACTGCCAAAAGTAGAGCAAGACCCCTCTCCCGCCACTCACCCAGTGGCCCACAGATCTGCACTCAAATCCTGGCTCTGCTACTAATTTGCTATGTGACCTTAAGGAAGTCATTTCATTCCTCTAAGCCTCAGTTTCCTCATCTGTAAAAACAGAGATATTAAAACTTCCCCTGGCCATTTCACAGGGTTACCCTGAAAATTAAATGAAATAAGTATGGGGAAACTGTTTGTAGCTGCCAAAGTACTTTGCAATGGAACCTGTGATTATGTCAGATAGATTCCTCTTGGGAACCTTGCATGGTTTCACTCATGTATATGTGATTATCACATCTAACTACATTTCCCAAAGGATTGGGCAAGCACTTACTCCTGTGGGTGTGAAGGGGAAGAGTTCATATTTGTTTCACCATGCTTCAAAGCTTTTGCAACTGGTCCATAGCTCAGGTACTCTGCTATCCCTTTGGTTCAACATTAATCACTTGTTTTATGGGGTGGTTATTCCTCTCTGATAGGATGGAAGACTTGTTTGTGTTTATGGACATTTCCCTGTTCTATTTGAGTTATATCACATTCCACCTTGACCTGGGCAGAATAGTTGATTTTCCTGTTCAGCATGGAACTGGAGGCCCTTTAATTAGGAAATTCTGAATGGGTATGCTGCAGAGATGCATGGCAAACAGAGACTGTTTCCTTCAAGTTTCCCACAGCGGTACAACGGCCTCCCGCCACCAGATTCAGTATATTCTCTCCTGCATCCTCTCAGCAGCAATGCTCAGCAGTCCATAGGCAGCCCTCAGCTACAAAGAATGCCCAGGTGATGGAGGGAAGAGACGCTGGTAAATTGAATTTGCTGTTTAACTCACTGTTAGATCTAGAAAATATGG